TATATATATATATATATTATATATATATATATATATATATATACATACACACACACATCTCATATATATCATATCTCATGTCTCATTTATCTCATGTCTCATTTTTCTAGCCAATTTGGGCAAAGACATCTGCACAAATGTACATCCTAAAGTTAAACTTTAAATCAGCATATATCTAAAACTTGTAACAGCCAATGACTTAACTGATCACAATTTTAGCCCTGCACTTATAAATTGTCATGTACTGTACGTATTGTATAATAAATTGTTAGTTGTTTTTTGAGAGAAACAGAGTTCTGAACTAAATGAATGTTTCGTGTCAGAGTCTCAGTGAATGCAGCCGAAGTGTAATCCTTTACTGTCAGGTGTGTGAAGCTGTAGTTTACATTCATCACAAGCATGAATCTCGTGTTAACTCGAGTCTTCGTGATTTTATTTGAACTTTTTTTTTCTGAGGTGGAATGATTTTTGAAACAAGAACAGAGTGCACACGTTTGATTTTATTGTGTATTTATTTTAATCCGGGCATGGATTCAACATAATATTGAGTTAAACGCCCCTCAACAAGTTGCACCTCGACCACACGGTGTAAAAATATCCATCAACAAGCGATGTATTTCTGGATATTTCTTCTTTGCAGAGGTAGTAGTGTTTGTATAAATGTTTGTTTGCTGCCAGGGTCCCGGCTTTTTGTCCACAAATTTTGAATTTGATTGATGGTGACTTTAAAAAGTTGCTTCCATAAGCTTGATATTAGTTTGTTTTATTCAATCAGAAACAGTTCAGATCTGTGTCTGGGTTCATTTTTCTGAGTTTCAACTGTGTAGAATTTGGAATTATTCTTCCTTCTACATTATTTCATCCACTTTATGTGATGCACCAGCCCCACAGCATGATGCTGCCACCATCGTGCATGACAGCTGGTACAGTTTTCATAGGTTTGAAGGCCTTACCTCGATTTCTCCAAACGTTCTTCTTATCGTGATGATTCTCAGAGGGGTAAATGCAGCAGGTCAACCCCCCCCCCCCCCCCCCCCCCACCCCAAATGCCTCCTAAATCCATTTACACAACATCCATGTGGAAGGACGTCTCTGGCTCAGCCTGAAAGTGTTGTGCGTTTTTAGTCATCCATGTTCCACTTTATGATCATGAGGTGCAGGATTTTCATCAATAATCTTCACCTTGGAGTCAGAAGCTGATGAAGCGCTCTGTGAAGCTGTAAGTGAGTTTAAAACCCGCAGCTGATCGCGTTCACCCTGTCTGTCTGCAGTCCAGAGCTCCAGGTCCGATCCTGACGGCGGGAGGGAAAAACCCGGTGATGGAGCTGAACGAGAAGCGCCGTGGACTGAAATATGAGCTGATCTCAGAAAGTGGGAGCAGCTACGACAAACGCTTCATCATAGAGGTAAAATATCACACGATTTTCTGAATGCCCTCCCAGTCGGTCCGGTTTTCACCGGATCTTATTAGCAATTGATGAGGGAGGGAATGTGTTTGATGTTCGGCAACTTTCTGCTTCCTGCATATCAAAACGGCTTCAGATGGCAGCAAAGACAGCTGAACGTGAAACCAATTTATTCTTATAAAATCACTGAGTCTCTGCAGCAGTTGATGTTGGGTTCATTGCTGTGGGATGGAAATTAAACTGCATCTGAACTTCTGCATGAATATAAATTTACTGCTAATCAGAGGCGTTTTTTTATATTTTACTGTGGGGCAAACTGTTTTTTTTTTTTTTACAAATCAGACAACTAAGCTCAGTACTCTTGTGTGTTTTGTACATGAGGAAAATAGACAAGAACTGGATTTATAAAAAGTATTTCTCTTTATGTTTGTTGCGACAGGTGGAGGTGGACAAACAGGTTTTTCGGGGAACTGGACCCAATAAGAAAGTAGCCAAAGCCAGTGCAGCGCTGGTTGCTCTGAACAGCCTGTTCTCTGGCTCCAAGTCTGCAACCAACAAGAAGAAACGACCCAACCCTCCTGTGAGAACAAACACCTACAGATGAACTCGGAACGAATCGTTCTCCTCGTTCATTTAGTCAGATGTTACTTTTATTTCATGGCGTTCTGCAATAACGCATGCAGTTTGTGTACATGTCATGCACATGTGCGTGAACACGTGCATGAATGAAGTGCAGCCGAGTTTACCCTGAAATGGTCTGTCTGTGTTTGTGTAGCCGAAACGACCCGTGGCGTCCGTGCTGACCATCCCAACCCTCGCAGCCAGACCTCCTCGGATCCCCATGATCCCCAGAGCGCCGTACATCAGCTCCCCGCCTACGCACAGCTACATCCCTCCAGGTGAGCCGCATGGAAGTCTACCTGAACTCTTCTCAAAGTTCACCCTAAAAGATCTGGTGCCAACTGATTTTTATGGAAACTATGACTAAATGTAGAAGAAACGAAAGATCGTAAATTATATGACTTCATAGCTTTACAATGGTGCCTTCAAGACTCTGCCTTTTTTGTAAACATTTTGTTTCTACTTCAAACATAAACAAGTTTCCCTGAGCGATATGAAATGGTGCAGTTTAAGTTTTCTTATGTAGTTTTCCATAAATACTGATGTTCAGTTCTGAAATTCCGGCATGCAGTCAATGTAAACAAAACTATTTTTTCTGCATACTTTGCTCAACAGTGCTGAGCTGAAATTCATACCAATACATCAAAATTGCAGCTTCAGCTGAGGAAGACACTTGAAATATGGCATGAAGTTCTATCATATAATCAACATTCATTATTTTGAGGAATGCTAGTTCTTCAATTCATTTATGCATTGTTTGTTTTTATAGCTTTTACTTTAAGGTACTGTAAGTCAAATTACTTAAATCTCCATAGTTTTTTTTATAAATATATTTTTTTGTTATATTTTCTTAATCTGACCTTTCTGGAGCTTTTCAGACTTTATGTTGGACACATGACATAAAGAACGCTTTAACATCCATAAACAGAACAATGGGATTTTATTTTGTGAAGTTGTCAAGTCCTACATGGCTGAACGTGACCTCTTACCTTAGACGCTCCCCGCTGGCAGGGCTGGTTTGTTCTTCTGCCACTGGGAGAAGCTTTACCTGTAAAAAAAAAAAAAAAGTATGTTTTAATGGAGTGAACCCTTACGACCTTAATACAGAGGTACATGACCCAAACATTAATCGCGGTGTATTTTTTTCTCTTCCCAGGTTTTGGCGCTCCTTATGGCTACAGCCCTGCAGGCGCCCTTCCTGCTTACGGTAAACCCTCTGCCTGATCAATAATCTGTCCGTCCGTCCAGTCTTCTGTTCATCCTCTCATCCCAGCATTTGAGTTATTATTTTTGGTTCTTCCTCAGGTTTTCCCTCCAGATTGCCCTCAGTAGTTGTTCCCATCATCAGAGTCCCCACAGCTTACCCCATCACTCACCTCTACCCCTATTAGGACACACCACCACCACCCGCCAAAACCAACTTGTTGAAGGAACACCCTCTCTTGAGCAGTGTGGTCAGAGCATCACTTATTTACACCATAGTCTCCGTCAGCTACAGCTGCACCCACCTGGATTCATTAATGAAACACAGATAGAATTTAGTTAAAGGCTTAAACATCTGAAAACTACTTCACTGAACATTTAATGATACAAAAACACAAACCGTTCAGTGAACTGAGCTCGTGTTGCCACCTGCTGAGTTGGAAATTGTGATTTCCTGTTAGCGCTACAGATCCTGGCTGCTGCCAGCAGAGAATAAAAACCAGCTCTCCTCGGTGTTTTTCATTTTCTGCACAGATTTTCTAAACAAACTTCGATTTGAGGAGACTATAAAGCATTCAGCGTTGAGTAAAGTTTAACAAACTCACACCAACAGGATCGGTACTTTCTAAAGCTGCTGTCCTGAAAAGTTGAACAGTTTTCACATTTTATCTGTTTTCTGGACGTCATTAATTTAATTTCATTTTTATTTTTGGTTTTTGTTGCTGAAGTGTTTATTGATTTGTAACTTTTGTATGTTTTTTTAATTTTATTTTGTGTTTCCGTTCAAGTCTAAGCCACTCACATTTTCACTTTCAGCTCAAAATTCTCCAACAAACTAATAATAATTTTTTTTTAAATCAACTATAGTGCAAGTTTTTGTAAACAAAGAAAAAGCAACTCAGTTTGTAAAATATGCATTTCTGGTAAAACCTTTGCAGCTGCGGTTTTAAGTTCTGTAAAAAACAACTCGCTGTTAAAATATTTGATAAGAGAAAACACCACATTGTTGAAAGTGTGGGATTACATTTTGTATCTTTCAATTAAATGTTGAAAAATACAAAAATCAATAAATTTAAGCAAAACGGACGTTTAACGGTACAATTTAGAAACAAGAGAACTAGGTATTTGTTCACCTGCTGAATGAGTTTGATAAGAAGAAATTTAAACAAACAGGAACTGAATGAAAATGACAAACTGCTTAAAATCTGGAGCTTCTTTATAAAGGGCGGAATATTCCTTTAACGATTCCTCCTGGATGTTGAATGTTCTTGTTTTTCTGTTTTTTCTGTTAAGAAAACAAAACGAGTTTACAAAGATCAGTTTTACTGAGACATTTTTCCTTTTGTTTACATTTGCTGTTTGAGCCACTGAGTTAAAACGGTCTTTCTCGTCAGAAAGATCTCGTTTTGACCCGTTTGGAGAGAATGTTCTTTCTAAATAAATGTTTTTGTTGAACGTGTTTGTGCTTCGTGTTTTTATTCATCAGGTCTCGAGTTGTTTTTGAACTTTGAAAAAGTTCAAACTGTTCAAGTTCCTGAAGAGCTTTAATTTATAAACTTGTTTTGTGAATTAATGTTGTAAAAATCAGAATTGGGGTTGATGTACATCCAATGATTTTAAATCCGTGAAAACACACACACAGCCGGCTGTCATGGTGGCAGCCGGAGATGAGAATGATTTTGTTTTCTGTGTAAATGCAGTAAACTCTGAAGAAGCTGAAACTGGGTTAATAAAGCTGAAATGATCGTATCACAAACTAAAATTTGATAAACAAAGGCTAAACGCTCAAATTTGGATGGGGGTGGAGACTTTTAAAGCATAGAAGCTAAAACCTACACTTTGGAAAAAAACGAATAACTAAAATCTAATGTTGGCAACAGTAGCTTTTAGTCACTGGGAAAACTTACTTGTTAGTAGCAAGTTGTAAACGGCTTGTTTGTGGTAGTGTTTACTATCTGGAAAAACACAAACTAAGAGCTAGAATGAGCAAAAGAGTAGCTAAAAGTTAGAAAAACCGTAGCAGTCATCAAACATTAGATTAGCCAAGCAGTAGCTAAATACCAGAAGTTGGAAAAACGGTTGGTAAAAGTTAAAATTTCAAATAACCTTAGAATTTAAAATGATCACAATAGCTAAACATTGGAAAACAATAGCTAAAGGTTTAACCTAGCATAACACTAGCTAAAAGCTAAATCTGCAAGCTAAAACTCAAGTATGATGATTTGAAAAGTTTTCCATTTAAATTAGGAAAAATGTAAAATAAAGTTAAAATATTTCAACAAGTATGAAAAGTTAGAAAAGTCAATACTGCAATGTTCTGAATGAGCTGAAGGTTTTACTTCCGGAGTAGTAAAACAGCTGAAAGTAGGCTAAAGCAGTTGGTTAGAAAAACGAACTGAGAAAACTATAGACTGGAAAATAACGCTGACTCGGCATTGACACTAATGCAAAAAAGGATCTTTAGTGAAAGCTCATTGTGTCTGTAACAAGCTGGTAACAACCAAGCCGTAACTATGGTAACTAACAAACTTAACAGGTATCAGCAGAGTTGTAAATATGGCAACTAACAACCTTAACAGGTAACAACAGAGGCATAACCATGGTAACTAACAACCTTAACAGGTAACAACAGAGTTGTAACTATGGTAACTAACAACCTTAACTGGTAACAACAGAGTTGTAACTATGGTAACTAACAACAGAGCCATAACTGTCGTAACTAACAGCCTTAACCGGTAACAACAAAGCCATAACTATGGGAACTAACAACCTTAACAGGTAACAACAGAGTCGTAGCTATGGTAACT